AAGCTGAGGTGGATCGGTTTTGGGCACTATTGATCATCATTCTCATTGCGAAGGCCGAACAGGGGTGGTGGCAGTATTCCCCCCTCCTCTCTCCGGTTATTCTCCCTCTAAACTCTCTTTATTTCCCCTCTCTCCCCTTCTTCTTCCAAATGCCCAGATCTGTTGTTCGTCTTCTTCCTCTTATCACCGAACAGAGAGTGGTGGGGAACTGCAACGGTAGCTCCAGTTAATTTGATTGTATCAGCCAATCTCAGCAACACCAGTTTGCTCTTCCCAGAATCGCACCTGCAAGGGAGGACGTTCGAAGCTTAGGCCTATTTTTGTCTTTTAACGCAGTCTAATGCATCTGACTGTGTTAAGAGGTTGTCCGACCTCTTTCAATTTTAGATCTGAAATGGAGTTTCAGACCCATATTCAGACCGGATTCCAAACATGCATAACTTCTGAAAAGCAAGAGGTCTGAAAAGAGTTATCAAACGCGCCCTAAGACTGATACAACCCAATTTGCATGTGCTCCTGCACCTTTGCAATATGGAAAACTTTTGGCCCTAGGGCCAACGCAAAGGGTGCAAGTCTAATTAGTCCCGTTCTCCATAAAATGGCAGGAACCAACAGGATTTAATCTGCAAGGACAACTCCTGCACTGAAGACTCCATGCCAACAATCTGTGGGGACATCTGCAACATGCCAACTTCTGAATCTACCGAACCACATCATTCATTCATGTTCCTTTTGGAAGGCAGTTCTGCAGTTTCGTCCACATATAATTTACATTAACCTACAGTACTATCGATATCACCAGACACGGGTTCTGCACATTAAAATAAAAATAAAAAATAAAAAATAAAAAAACACTCAAAAGAAGATTGATGTCGTAATGGAGGATGGAATAATACACACTAGCCAGGCCCACAATATGCAAGGCATGCTTTGCTTCTCATCAACATTGGATTAAAGTAGTTAAAACATGCACTTGCCTACCCACACTCCTGTTAACAAGACAAATTAAAGGGGGTAGCACCAAATAAACAGCCCCCACAAATAATCATACAAGTCCAAGATATACGTGGAATGGTCCAAAAGCTTCCTTGTGTCGAACAGTGAACCCTCCTAAACTATATACTACTCACTGCTCATATTTAGTGAACCATCCTTCATAAGCTTTACACTAAGACTGTTAAACCTCCCTCGAGAATAATGACGAGAAGCTTTTCTCCAATCTGTTCCGGTTTTCATCATTGCTGCAAACTCATCATAGCTGATCTTTCCATCCTGCATTTTACCGACATTTAATTAAGGTGACTTGTAATGAAATAAAATCAATAGCGGTATCCTACTAAAAGATTCCAGAGCATGGATTCAACCTTGTCAGTGTCTACTTCTTGAAAGATGTCATTTGCTACATCTGCATAGTCAGCAGCTCCATCTTCCATCAAGGCATCCTGGAGCTCCTGTGGCTCGATATAACCATTTCCATCCTTGTCAAAGTAGGAGAAGGCTTTGCGGAGATGCTCATCATTGGCCATCCTCTGTAGATGGAGAGACACTGCAACAAATTCTCCATAATCAAGTTTACCTTTTCCATTGGTATCTACCTGTCTCCAACAAAATTTCTCCCATTAGAGCCTATCATACTCTACTGCAAGCATATTTTATGACTAGCCAATCATTTCCTTTGTTGTAAAACCAAACAAGCAATTAAAAGGGATGAAGACGAATCTCCCTCCTGAGGTTGAGAACTCCAAAAACCCAATAGTTCAGAGACTGGAAAATCTTTTCAATATTACTATGGAGGCTGGAGCCCAAAAGTGTAAAATGGTATGCAGGCAATGAGAAGGCAAGAAGGCACGAATAAGAATAAAAGAAAAGAAAGGATGAAAGAACAAGAAGAGAATCAATGTTTTGATTGGACAAAATTTTGAATTCTTCTATTCTTATTGGTTCAGTCTTTAAGTCTTCGGGGGCTCAAGACAATATACATCTTGATTGAACCCAAAATAAGAAAAATAATAAAATGAAACTAGTACTTAACTCAAACTGAATAGTTTAGTTTAGTAGTGTTTGCTTTAATATATATATATATATATATATTTTTTTTTTTTTTGAAACAGGTAAAGTATAAATGTATAGTGTTATTAAAAGTATCCAAGAAAGTTGGTGTTTGCTTTAATATTAGGGAAATTGTCTAAAACTTACCATGAGTTTTCAGCATCTCTTAAACTCACCACAACTTTTCAAAATGTCTAAAACTCACCATTTCACTAACTTGATGTTAAGGCTCCGTTTGGTTTGTGGAAAGATTTGGGTGGGATGGAATGGGATGAAAAGTGTAAAAATTTAACTTTCTATTGTTTGGTTTTATATGAGAAAATAGTAGGAAAATTACCATCACAAAACAGAGTTCTACTTTCTTCTCTGTTTTGGTGCGATCCTGAATGCAAAGATGGTGGAGAGTGAAGGGAACTATCGTAACCATAACTATCCTTGTTCTTCTGCTTCTTTGTGTTCCTTTGATGGTACAGCGAGGCCAATGTAGTTTCTCTGTCTTTTGCTTCACTGCTTCTCCTCTTTTCACTTTTGCTACTTTTCTGTTCCAATTGTTGCGATTCCCGTCATGGTGGGGGTGGAGAAGGCGGCGGCGGTGTTTGAGCCTATGGTTGTGGTGAATGGATTTTCATGACTTCTGGTACACTATCATCAAGCTCTTGTGCTTTTTGTTTACATTCAATATTTCGAGAGGGTCGCTTGATTTTCTATTTAATTTCCGGTGGCGGAGGAGGTGGCGACGGTGTTTGAGCCTATGGTTGTGGTGAATGGATTTTCGTGACTTCAGGTACACTATCATCAAGCTCTTGTGCTTTTTGTTTACGTTCAATATTTCGAGAGGGTTGCTTGATTTTCTGTTTAATTGCCGGTGGCGGAGGCGAAGGAGGAGGTGGTGCAGGTGTCAGTGACCTTGGAGGCGGAGAAGGAGGTGGTCGCGATGAAGACAATTCATTAGGTGAAGGACGGGCCACAAAAGTATCCACTTGGATCGTCTTGAGTTCGGAATCTTCCCCTAGAATTCGCGTATATGTCATCGTCGAACAGAGCCCGATTGTGACCGATAAGTATCAACCTCGATGTCATCATAGAATCGCAATCTGTCATCGCTCCCGAAAACCCACGAGGGTTCTAGCCTAAGATCCGGGTAGGAGCTACTATTCCTCGTCAAGCGTCCGACCCTGGTGGAATCGATGGAGGATGTCATGGGATTGTAGAAGTTGTGGTCGTGATACTCGAACCAGGGACGTGGGGTTGAGGATGGATGTGATTTGTCGGCCACCTGGGAGGTGCTACTACTGGCAACATTGGTATATTCATCATCAGTGCTGCCAGAGGACTCGTAGTCCCTCTTGCTGAGAATCCCACAGATGATGGCGAAAAGAATGAGTAGGAGATTAAGTGAGTCCCAGCCCTTCTTGACCAAGTTAGGTCGGAAAATTTAAGAAGCGAAGGAGAGAAGGGAAGGAATGACAAAGAGCAAGAGACGGCGAGAGGCAATACGATGACCAGAACGACAGAGTTAAGAAAGAAAGGAGAAGAAGAATGACGGTGGCTACGACTGATAGTGGTACTAGTTTGTAGCCAAAAGGGTGGTGTGTCTGCATCTCCTTCCATGATTTGGGGTTGGTTTTTTCTCTTTTTTTCTTGCTTTTGGTTTTGCTTTTGATGAGAGAGAGAGAGAAGGGAGACAGACAGACAGAAGCAGAGACGCACAGAGAGACAAAACAGAGAAGAAAGGAGAGATGGAGAGAGGAGTCGGGGTCGCAATAGCGGCAGGGCAAAGGATGAAGACGAAAAAACTCGAGTTTTCTCAAGTTTTTCCACCGGGGTCGCACTGTTTTGGTGAGACCCCGATTGCACAATTTTGGGATCTCGCATCCCACTTTTTTCTCATCCCATCCCCTTATTTCCCTTGAAACAAATGAGAGAAAAAAGAATATTCTTGGAATATTCCCTTTTTCTCATCCCCATCCCACAAACCAAACAGAGCCTAAACAGACTAACGAGCGCTAATATACTACCATTTTAACCTTCATAGAAAAATATTAAATATATACAAAATAAATTAATGGGTGTTACTATATTACCATTTTAATATTTAGACATGAAAAAAGGAAAAAGTTCAAAAAAAAATATTTTCAAATATAAAATACATAAAAACATAGAAATTACAAAAAAAATATAGAAATTGCAAACAAAATAAAAAAATATTTTCAAATTATAGAAACTAGAGAAATTGAAAAACACAATCAGAAAATAAAAATTGTAGAAAAAACACCACAAATTATAGAAAAACACAAAAATTGTGAATAAATAACAAAAATACAGGAAAATTTATAGATTGTAGAAAATAGAAAATTGTAAAAAAACAGAAATTATAAAAAACATTGAAAATCATAACAAAATATTAAAAATGCAAAAAAAAACAAGAAAATTGAAAACTGAAAAAGACCAATTTTCCTCTAACTCACCATTCAAGGGTAATTTGGTCATGGAAATTGTTATTTATGCTGACATGGACACATTTGCTAAGAAGCATTAACGGTGCACCAACGGAAGGAGAGTTTTGGAAAATAAAAAMATACTGACATGGTGAGTTTTAGACATTTTGAAATGTTGTGAGTTTCTTTTGATGAATAATGTCGTGAGTTTCTGAGAAATGTTGAAAACTCATGGTGAATTTTAGACAATTTCCCTCAATATTATAATCTAAGAAAGTCAAGAATATAAAAGTATCCAATACATTGTGTAAACTAAGAAGTATCTTGGCAATTGAGGCAACCCTCCATGAGCACCTTATTTCCTACGCATCACTCTACATGTTAAGCCACCTCGGTACCTAATTGTCATAGTTAGGTAATAAATCCAAGAGGTAGTCTCTATTTTATATGGCAGTAGGTTGTTCTTATAACATTGGGTGTAACAATAGTAGACATGCCTTCACTGGGCTATTTGGTTTTTTATCTGATTGATAGCAGCATGTCTAGGTTTAATTGGATGGTCGCAAGACATTATAGTGATTATATGAACTCATAAAAACCAAATCAGCCAGGCATGCACTCACTGGGTGATTTGGTTTATCCTTTGACTCATAGCATCTTAAGGTCTTTTTAGAGGCCACAAGAAAATATTATGATTATATGAACTCATTGCTCCACATCTTAGGCTACCTTCATATTTCTGATATTCCTAGTAATGTAGTGGATCTTAGAGGTAGTCTCCATTTTATCATTTGATAGCAGCTAGTTCGGGCATCACCTAGGATGGCAACAACTATACAACCACTGGGTAATTTTGTCTTTCATTTGATTGATAGAATGTCTATGTTTTACTGGAGGGTTGCAAAAAAGTGTTACGACTATGTGGACTAATCAAAACTAAATCACCTAGGCACGCACTCACAAGGTAATTTGGTTTTAAATATGATTATTAGCATGTTGGTGATTTATTGGAGGGCCACAAGAAACTATTGTCATCACGTGAATTCATTGAAATCAAATCACCCACACATGCACTCATTTGGGTGATTTGGCTTTACTTTTATTGATAGAATATTAGTGTTTTATTGAAGGTCACAAGTAAGTATTGCAATCATTAGGCTACCTTAGCATTTCTAGATTGTTATAGTTAAGTAGTAGACCTTAGAGGTAGTCTCTATTTTTTCATATGTTAATGGGTTATTTTTGTATCATTTGGGGTAGGTAAAAAGCACTCATTGGGTGATTTGATTTTTTTTCATTTGATTGCTAACATGTCTTTGTTTTATTATAGGATTACAAGAGAGAGTGTTGTGGCCATGTGAACTAATCGAAACCAAATCACCTAAGCATGCACTTTAGTAATTTGACTTTTAATTTGATTGATAGCATGCTTGTGTTTCATTGAGGGTTGCATGTAAGTGTTGTGGTCGTGTCACGTCTGAACTCATTCTCATTGTTCAACATTTTAGTCTACACTGGTATTTCTAAATAGTCATATTGACTCATTGTATGGTAGTAGACCCTAGAGGCAATCTCTATATTTTCATATGTTAGTAGGTTGTTAATGTATCATTTGGGGCAGCAAGAGCAGATTGAACTCATTGGATGATTTGGGTTTTCATTTGATTAATTAATTGCAGGTTGTTTGATTTATTAAAAGGTTGCATGTAAGTGTTGGAAACGGCCTCTTTGTATGTGCAGGGGTAAGGCTGCGTACATCTATCCCTCCTGAGATCCCACATTGGTGGGACCTTGTGCACTAGGCTTCCCTTTTATGCAAGTGTCATGACCATGTGAGCACATTGAAACCAAATCACCCAAGCAAGCAGTTTAGGTGATTTGGTTTATTATTTGGTTGATAGCATGTAGTGTTTTATGGTGGGTCAAAAGAAAGTGTTGTGACCATACGAACTCATTGCTTTATATGTTAAGCTATATTTATATTTCTTGATTGTCAAAGCAAGGGAATGGACCCTAGAGGCCTACTTTTCAATGCATCAAGGGGAGGCTAGATGATTGGGGGTGCCTTATCACCTAGTCGCCTAGGCAATGACTTTTTTTTTAATAAAAACCATGGATGCTAGGACAATTCCTTAGGTTCTATAGCAAGCAGGAATCATTTCTCACTATTAATTGTGTATAATCTTCATAAAAATGTATAAACTTCATTTTTTTTATTATAAGTAATGTATAAACTTCATATAAAACATAAAAAATCCAACATATTCATAAAAAAAAATGGAAGAAAAGAAATTTCAAAAAATAGAGGGGAGGGGCTGAGCCCCCTATTTTTGTCCTAGGAAAGGAAGAAAAGAAAAGAAGAAAGAGGAAGAGGAAGAAAATAAGCAATATGTGTTGAATGTTGATTGGACAAAATTGGATTTTCCCATGCTTATCGATTAAGGCTTTGAAGTCATTGAGGGTTTACTTGGATCAAAATGTCTCTAATATAGAATCTGGAATCCAAACCCTAACGGCATGTTTTATTGTGCCTCCTTTTTTAACCTACTTATCCATTCCAGAACTTTGGGGCTGAACTTCCTTGTGAGAGAAATTTGATATAAACCAATCCCTCCTAACATACAAGCTCTTTGTTGGGAAGTGTTCCTTGAAAAGGTAAACACCTATAAGAGCTACCTTGGCTAACTTACCTACCTGTTTTTTGTCTATATTTAGGATACCAATTAGGGAAGCTAGGAAATTGGAGAAGTTGATGAGAGATTTCTTATGGGAGCCGGGACAAGAAAAAAATGACCACTTGGTTAATTGGGAAATTGTGTGCAAAAGTAAAGAAGAGGGGGGTTTCGGACTTGGGAGGGTAACTGGAAAAAATCAAGCTCTATTAGGGAAATGGTTGTGGCGATGGCCATTGGAAAGAGAGATTGTGGCATGAGGTGGTGGGAAGCATTCATGGGAGGTCAGAGAATGGATAGGATGTTGGTGTATCAAGGCAGGCTAACCTAGCAGCACCTTGGAAGGCCATTCACAACACCTTTCCTCAATTCCTCAATTTTATCAGGTATGAAGTTTGTTCTGGCAACGCTATTCATTTTTGGGAGGATATTTGGGTAGGAAACACACCTTTAAAGGATCTGTTCCCTTTGCTATTTTCTGTTTCTTTGTACAAAAAAGATGTGGTCTCAAAATTTGTCTCACCTTTGG